TTATCTTAAAATTCCCCACTTACCGTCCTAATACAGCATTAAAACAGAACAGAATTTGTTCTGTCTCCATAGTCCCAGGCCTCATGGAATGTGCAGCAATGGACCAATAAACCATGCGATGTCACTTAATGCTATTATAGCTTGTCCATTAAGTATTATTTGAAAAGACATAGTGTATCCTTCCTGTCTGGAAAATCTGCTCTAGCTCCCTGGGTTTCACTCTCTCCGCTACTCCCACACCACTCTACAGGGAGCCATCAGCAAAACTCTGCCCATTTGGTAGGGAATGAGGTTGTCAGGTGGTGCGTGCAGGGAGCGGAGGGCGTATTCTGGATCTCTCGGCCGCGCTGGGATGGGCGCTGTCCAATCAGACTGCGCAGAATGACTTCTGGAAGCTCTCCCCAGCATTTATCCCTGCTGCAGTTACGCATGCACCGGGATGCATTAGAGTATTTAACTGAAGCTAATCTTCCAGACCATCTTGCCTAAGACCCCCTCTCCAGCCTGTGTTCAGGGCAGAACAGGATGGCTGCAGGGCCTGTGGCTGGGACCTCGAGTGTCTGTCTTCTAGATCACTGCTTCCAATCTGACCCACGTCGCTAGTGGCCACAAATAGTTTCCATCCAACAGCTGTTCAGCAGGAGGCCTGAGCCTAGTGCCCCCTTGTAAATCTCCTTCCCTCATCCACCCCCAAGTCCCTCTTGCACGTGGGTCCCCTTAGTTCCTCCTCCCTTTCCCCACCACTGGGTGGATGGAGGGGATGTTCTGTGTCGGCTCCGGGGACGGGGGTTCCTTCACTCACTGGCCTAGAGCTGAGCCAGCCGCAGAGCAAACAGCCACAGCTGAGCGGGCCGACTGGGAGGGTCTGGAGCTGGGCCAGAGCTGAGACCCCTGCTTAGTATGTCTGGTTCCTGCCACCCCTGGTGTGGAGCAGGGTGTGAGTGGCTAGAGGCACGGGTCTGAAATGGCTCCCGTTCCCCAGAGTTTTCTCTGGCTGGCAGGGCTGAACTGGGGCCTCTACTCACCAGGAGCCGGGAGGCCCTTGCTCCCCGGATGGGATTCTCCTGCTAGGGGAGGAGGAGAACCAGGAAAAGGGAGTGACTGAGACACAGCTCCTGGACATAGATGGCTGAGAAGGTTCCTCCCAAGCTTCCCTTCCATCTGTATTGGTCGCTGCCACCCTCCAGACAAAGTATGCGCTGCCATGTGCATAGCAAGCCTCTTTAGGACGTACCTCTTGTGATGGGTTGTCATCCCCGGGGTGCAGTCTGGGAGCCGTGAGAACCGCTTTGCCCCCCTAACCATATAGCTGGGCTGGTCTCTCTCTCTCTGCTCTGCTGGTGATTCAGCCAGCCTCTCCAGACCCTGTTCTCACCCAACAGGACAGCAGGTGGTGCCACACACCCAATTGAGCTACCTGAGTGCTTTACCTAAGCCACTCAAGGACAGACAGAAGACAACAGCTAATTTTCTAGCTCCCCAGCCTTGCACCCTTGCTGAAGTATAAACCCAGTATTATACCATCTTGCACTGCACAGGGATTTGTACAATGCAAGCTCATTAATATAGTTCGCTTTCCCCTTGATGTGGGGAAGATATGCAACAGCCTTTGTTTACAGAACTGCGATTTTCCCCAGACACTTCACACAAAACACACTGGTTAAGATAAAACATAAAACAAGTTTATTAACGACAGAGAGATAGATTTTAAGTGATAGCAAACAGATCAAAGCAGATTACCTAGCAAATAAACAAAAACGCAAAGACTAACATACTAGATAGATAGGGTTTGAATTAGCAATTTCTCACCCTGACTGATGATACAAGCAGCCCACCAAGTTTCCGTACACAGGCTGGAAATCCCTTTAGCCTGGGACCAGCACTTCTCCCAGTTCAGTCTTTGTTCCTCAGGTGTTTCCAGGAGTTCTCTTGTGTGGGGAGTGAGGCCAAGAGATGGTGTCACTCCCCTCCTTGTATAGCTTTTCCATATGGCGGGAACCCTTTGTTCCAAGCTCAGTTCCCAGTCTAGTCTGTGGAAAAATACAGGTATCAAAATGGAGTTTGGTGTCCTGTGGTCTGGTCACATGCCCTTGCATGCCTTGCTGAGTCGTAGCAGCCATTACTCATAGGCTGGCTGAAACGTTCACAGGAAGGCTAAGCTCTTCCATGGGCCATTGGCTTTGCTGATGGGTAGGGCCCTACCAAATTCAAGGTCCATTTTGGTCAATTTCACAACCATAGGATTTTAAAAATCGTAAATTTCAGATATTTAAATCTGAAATTTCACGGTGATGTATTTGTAAGGGTCCTGACCCAAAAAGGAGTTGTCGGGGAGGGGGGTCATAAGGTTATTATGGGGGGGGTGCAGTACTGCTACCCTTATTTCTGCGCTGCTGCTGGCGGCAGTGCTGCCTTCAGAGTTCAGCAGCTGGAGAGCGGCAGTTGCTGGCCGGGAGCCCAGCTCTGAAGGCAGAGCCACCGCCAGCAGCAGCGCAGAAGTAAGGGAGGCATGGTATGGTATTGCCCCCTTATTTCTTCACTGCAGCCTTCAGAGCTGGGCCCTCGGTCAGCAGCCGCCACTCTCCAGCTGCCCAGCTCTGAAGGCCGCAGCGCAGAAGTAAGGATGGCATGGTATGGTATTGCTACCCTTATATCTGTGCTGCTGCCGGCGGGGCGCTGCCTTCAGAGCTGGGTGCCTGGCCAATAGCTGCTGCTCTCCGGCTGCCCAGCTGTGAAGGCAGCAGCACAGAAGTAAGGTTGTCAATACCACGGTCCCCCTAAAATAACCTGGCGACCCTACTGCAACTCCCTTTTGGGTGAGGCCCCCCCAATTTGAGAAACGCTGGTCTCCTCCATTCAATCTGAATAGCATAGGTAAAAGCACACAAAAGACCAGATTTCACGGTCTGTGATGCATTTTTCATGGCCGTGAATTCGATAGGGCCCTACTGATGGGCCATCAGCACTGTCCAGCTTCTTCATTGTTGTACTTGATAGGCTAGTTTTGGGGGTTACCCAGAGTCGGTACATTGGAAATACAGACACACAGTCAATATTCATAACTTCAGATACCAAAATGATCCATGCCTACAAATAGGATAATCGTATTCGGCAAATCATAACTTTTCCAATGACACCTCACATGACACCTCTTGTACAAAATGCATCATAATTATGTCATAATCATACCACTATGATGAGTATGGGGTGTAGTGTCACACCTCTGGTCTCCTGGCGATGGATGAAGAGCAGCTTTCCTGACGGACTGTCTGAGATCCATCAGTGCCTTCCAGGCACAAAGCTTCACTGGCACATCTGCAGCCCCAGCAGAGCTAGGACTCAGTCTTGAGTAGCCCCATTCCTATTTTGGAAGAGGTCCCAGAAGGCCGTTCGTTTGTCTTGAGGGCTCACTCCCCAACACCATGCTCTGCATGTGCCAGGAAGGCTGACGAGGCGATGGGAGCTGTGCTTCGCTCGGTATGCTAATGTCAGCCCGTTCACTGGCTCCATCTCATCAGAGCCAGCTAGCACACAGAAACACCCTCGCCAGTGACTGAGCCACGGACCTGGGGGCTGGCCGGATGGCCAGGGCTCGTCCCAGATCAGACCAGCAACACTGGCAAAGTGGGCAAAGCGGCCCCAGGAGAGGTCAGAGCACCTGTGGCACGTGACTCAGCTTTGCCCTTGGCTCTGTGCTAGGTCCCCACTTACTCCCGGGTGCTTGGGTGGAGGCAGTGGCCAAGGCTGCGTTGTTGTTTCCATCTCTCCTGGGTGAGGAGCGTGCACCCTTTGGGTTTGGACATGGACTTTGCTACCCGTAGGCACACCTTGGTCACCCCCAGGCCAGGCTTTGGTGGTGCATCCTGCACGGGGCATCCCTCCAAGCCCTTTTAAGACTGGGGCTTTGTCTACACAAGAAAGAGTTTGCCAGTGGAGCTATACTTCCTAGTGGAGATGCAGCTTATACCAGCAAAGACGTGCTTTTGTTGGTCTAGTTTATACCAGTTCCCTGAACAAAATAAGCTGTACCAGCAGGAGGACTCTTTTTGTAATTTCATGTACCCAGGGCCACCCGGGGGGGGGGGGGGCAAGTGGGGCAATTTGCCCGCCCCGAGAATCCCTTCCCTGGCTACTCACCCAGTGGCGGTCCGGGTCTTCGGCGGCACTTCGGCGGCGGGCCCTTCACTTGCTCCGGGTCTTTGGTGACACTTCGGCAGCGGGTCTTCAGTGCTGCCGAAGACGCGGAGCGAGTGAAGGACCCGCCGCCACCGCCGCAGACTCAGCGCACTGCCCGGTGAGTACAAGCGCCGCAGCGGGTGGCGCCTTTTTTTATGTCCGCTCCCCCGCTTTGCCCCAGGCCCCTTGAATCCTCTGGGTGGCCCTGCATGTACCCTAGGGCTCCTGCCAGCATAGCTCTGTCGGGCAGGGATCACGCCAGACACAGGTATGCTGGAGAAGTTCGTAGCGTTGACCTGGCCTAACGCAACTTCGGAATGTGAATCCACTTAGTAAGCGATGCTTCGTAGCGAGAGCATGTCACACCAGCACTCAGCAGTCTGCACTGGCTCCAGCTGGATTCGGGGTGGCATTTCAGATGTTGTCTTTGACCTGTATAAACCCTAGACATGGTTGCCTCCCCTCTCTCTGTAGGACACTGCTGTGTGATCAGCCATGGGGCCTGGTCTGACAGGGAGATGGATCTAGCAAGGGGTAGGACGGGCTACCGGGCAAGTCTGTTTTCTTGGGCTTTCCTTGGAGGAGAGGTCTGAGCCAGTCTGAGGCAGGACTGCTTCTGCTTCGGGGGCACCATTATTCTCAGTCTGGGAAGATGTTTATTTTCAGTTCCTCTTGCACGTGTTCAATATTTGTAAAAGACCCACCGCACTTTAAAAAAGCGGCGGTAACCACATGGACGGGGTTCCATGTCCTCGTAGAAATCATCAGTGCGTCAATGTCTGCTAATCCTCAGCTTTTTCTTTCCCCCTTATCCAAATGCTCAGGGGCAGATCTTCAGTAGTGGATGTCCCATCTGACGGCCTTAATCAGCCAGTAACGCAGGTGAAGCTCACAGTCACCGTACACAAGGATTTGCTTCTCGGTCACTATGGCTTTGAGATTTCACCCAACCCTCCTCCTACTATCACATCAGTTGCTGCAGGTAGGAATCGTCCTTTCCCCTCCCGCCCCCACCCCGGCATACGTGCCTGGGGGAAGCTGCCTGGGGGCCGTGAACAGCTGGCAGGATTCCACGCTGACGCACCCCCCAATAAGGCTGATCGGGTTATGTCCATTTCTAGCAAGGAACCGGCCTGAGATGAGAAGCTTGGATCTGGATCTGAACTTTTCCAGGACTTAGTGGGCTTTGGCTCTAGCCTTTCTCTCTTTATAATGGTGGTAGAAGCGGTGTTCCCAGGAGAGCTCCGAATGTGTAGCCTCATGCTTCCTAGAGTCAGAGAGTTTAAAGCCAGGAGGGACAACCAGATTATCCAGTCTGACGTGTCTCTGGGAGGCCACTAACGCTACCCAGCACCCGCACACCAAACCCTCTGCCCCTTGGCAGAGCTTACTACGGAACAGTCTGGTTCTGCGGAGAGAGGCCTCTCCCCCTTCAAACCAGTGACTCAGGAGCATGTTCTGCTAATCCGCTGCTTGGACTAGCTGAATTAGTAATTTCTCACCTTAAACCATCTATAGTTCAGTACTCTGAAGCAGATTCATTGACAGGGTGCTAGAATTATCCTTAACCACAGGCATAGTGAATTCAGAGTTAAAGCGAAACTTAAAAAAAAATCTATGCTTGTTAAGGGCTGGAAATACACAGCTGCAGCACCCACATAGCTTTAATTTTGCCCTGGAGTGCCATCCTCAGGGGGGAACAAACAGTGTCTTTAAAACTGTTTCATCTAATATGGGCCCACAAACACACAAATGCCGTAGTCATAATTCTGTGGCCCTTGCGTGGTGTCATCAGAGGGCAGAGTTAAGGTTATTTGGTGCCCTGCAGACCTTAGCAAGTTTGGAGTTCTCCTAAGTTTAACTGTGAATCATGTACAATCGTAAGAAATACTTCTTAAATCTAAACAGACTGGGTGCACTGGGTCCTGCTGGGTTTGCTTTGAGGGTGAATCAGTGGAATGCCCTTCTTCATCCTTTCTTTCACCTCTCCCACCCTTCCCGCTCTGGTCCAGTGTTCATGGGGAAGGGCCTTGTCGCGGCCACACCGCTTTTCACTAATGCTTCCCTCCACCGTTTTTCCCAGCCCTGCTCCTTCTCCTGCTGGCATTCCCCTGATATCCCAGGCATGGTCTCCGATGGATCCTTCCAGCCCTGGGTGCTGGATCAGCCTTTGTCAGGGGCTGGGTAGTTCGTCCAACTGAACAAAGTTGGGTGTAGGAGTCACTGTCACCAGGCCTCCCTGAGTCCCCCTCCTCCAGAGGCCTCAGCCAAGAAGGGCTGGGAAGGGTGAGTGAGCCCCTACCTTTAGCATCCCCCCTGAAGCCGGAGGAAGCCACATGGGAACATAGTCCCAGCTTTCATGGAGCCTGGTGTCCAACCACTCTGGGCGCAGAGCTGGGTTTGACACCGGTGGCACCAAGCTGGGTTTGTTTTTAATAGCGTTTGTTCCTCTCCACCTCGCTGATCGTGCCCCAGGCTGTGCCGCTCCATGACTCTTACCCCTCCCATCTATCCCTGCCACATCTCCTTCCCCCGTCCATCTGCATTCCCCTCCTCTGCCTGTGCCCCATCTCTACCTCCCTGCCTTGCCCTCACAAATCCATGCCGCACCTCCAATCCTTCCTTTGCCACCCCTTTCCTCAGATGACCTCTCTCCCACCCCACCCACCCTGCTGTCAGCGCCACCCCATGTTAACTCCCTTCCCCTGGTTCCTCTGCAATGCGACATGCATATTCTGGGCCTGAGCCAAAGCCCTCAGAAGTCACTGGGAGCTGTTCTGCTGACATCAGTGGGCTTTGGATTAGAACCTTTTATTTCTGCGGCAAGTCATAGACTCTGAGACCAGAAGGGACCATTGTGAATTGGTTACTAGGGTTATTAACTCTGGCTGTTAACTGTAGTTGGGGCTATTGACTGGGTTGAGTGGTGACTCCGTTTTGAGTCACCACTCAACCCAGTCAGTAGCATAAGTCTTCAGTTGTGGGGGGGATGGAGAGAGAGTTTGTTCTCACCATCTGGGGCTGGAAAACCAAATGTAGATGCTCCACTGAATAGCAGTGCCTAGAGTTGTGATCTGCGCAAGCCATAGGGAAGCTGTTCTGAGCAAGTAGCTGACCAGCTGCTGATCTCTGCTAGGAAGCACAGCCGACGGGAAGCTGCTGCCCGGCGATCATATCCTCACGATAAACAACGAAGCTGTGGAGGACATTTCTATTGAGCAGGCAGCTGATCTGTTAAGGTAGGATCCTGTGGATGGTACTGGCCGCTCCTGGAAACCAAAAGGGCAGATGGAGATTTAAGAGCGAAGCTCTAGAACGCCAAACCCGCGGCTGCCTGGCAACAATCGCAGCCCTGGCTTGTCACAGTGGAAATTCCACTGGTCGTTTCACAGCGAGGGCATCAGCCGCAAGGGTGGGCTGTTTCTCTGTGAGTCTGAACACAGCTGTGCAAGAGAAACGCTCGTTTCCCGCGAATCTCTCTCTCATGTTATGTGGGTTAGGATAGTGCTGAGCCCTCCCCCGCCCAAGATCAGAGCCTCGTTCTGCTGCACGCAGTCACACCGTCAGTCTGTGAAGAGTGAATGTGTTAAGGTATCCCCTGTACAGTCACCGTTGCCTGTGGCTGTGGAAACTGCTTGGTGCTCCTGTCTGGGCGGCTCGTTGGCTGCAGAGACTGAACGTGGGGCCTCTGGTTCTAGAAATATGATCATACAATCCTAGAATATCAGGGTTGGAAGGGACCTCAGAGGGTCATCTAGTCCAACCCCCTGGTCAAAGCAGGACCAATCCCCAGACAGATTTTTACCCCAGATCCCTAAATGGCCCCCTCCAGGATTGAACTCACAACCCTGGGTTTAGCAGGCCAATGCTCAAACCACTGAGCTATCCCTCCCCCCAATATGTACTGCTGCTGCCGCCACCGCCGCCCACACTGGAGGACCAGTTACGGGTTAACCAAGGCTGTAAAACAGGCTCATCAACCTTTCTCTGTGGCCCAGCCACCACTAGAGGGGGACAGGGCTCCACACTGAGCGGGCGTGGGTTACACTCTTGATTTTAAAAACCCGTTAATGGTAAATGTCGCTGGCATACAAGCTAATGTTAACACAATTTCCTCAACAGAGCTGGTCAGAAAACAGAATTTCCGTTCCATGAGAAATTGACATTTGGGGGGGTGAAAAATTGTTCCAAACTGAAACAAAGAGCTGAAATTTCCCATGGAACAAAAATTCCCAAAAATGTTGATTCCGGACCATGGAAATGTTTCATTTTGATAATGTCCAAACTTTATAATATGTAAAATATTCAATATAATTTACTATATTTAATGCATATGTGATAGATTCGATTTAATATAAATCAAAGTCCAAATGAAATTGATCAAAACAAAGTCGAGATGAAATGTTTTTACCTTCCTGAAACGGAACGTTTCTAAATTGTCACAACGAAACGAGAAAGTTACAGTTTTGTCAAAGTTGACACATTCCCAGAACTTTTCAGTTTTGGCGAAACTCCATCTTCCAATCTGACGGAAAACTCTTCCACCCAACGTTTTTCAACCAGCTCTACTCCTAGCAGCGAAAGCATCTTTCTATTTAAGGTAGCCTGCGCTGGGTGGAACAGAGTGGAAACCCCATCAGCCTTCTCTGTGACCATTGCCAAGCCAGTGCTCCTCCCTCCCGCCCCGAGAGCTGGTAAAACAGAAACATGCAGGGGGCAGTATATGCTATACATTACTGGAATTGGTTCTTAGTCTGAAGGCAGTGTTTTGCTTACTGCTATGCTCGGCTAATTGTATTTGTCTATTACAGGGAACCCGAAGACTCTCTCCTTCTTACTGTTCTGCGATGCACTTCGGTAAATTGAATTTCTCTAACCCTTTCACTAGCACTGCTCCTTTGCAACAGGACGTTGGCCCTAGGATGGGTAACAGGGCTGGGCCCACAAGTGGGGGAACGTACAGGGGCGCCTCGAGAATGACTGGCCCGTTTCAGAGCACAGCGAGGCTGGGTGTGTAGTGTTGAGTGGTATATCAAAAGAGCTGTTACTCATTCCAGCGCACACAGCTCTACACGCACCTCTTTGGGGCCTGGGGCTGCCCTGGGTGAGTTATTCCAGCAGCATTTCCTCACAGTTCTTCTGTTTGGGGGCAGTGTTGGGGGATCATCCCCCAGCCCTGCTGGCCTCAGGAGAGCTGCCAGAGGTAAGGGCCCCTCTGCAGAGAGCCACAGGCCTCCGCGTTGCTGCTGAATCCCCGCAGTCCGATTTCCTGGCTCCTTGGCAACGGGGCTGGGACGTCATGGGCTCTCTCCCAGCGACTGCCCCAGAGCTCCCACGCAGGTGACGGGGTCCCAGGGCAGCATTAACGTGCACTGGGGAGTCACGTGGATTTTGGGGGCGGGATGCTGCTGTGCCCACCCCCTGCAGGGCCCCAAGAGCCACGGAGACGTGTGTTGGAGAGAGCTGGTGCAGGGGACGCGGGAGTGCCTTAGAGCTGACGCTCCATGTGCTTGTCCTGGAGTTAGGAGCTGGGGCCGTGTTTGTTGTCTTGAATGGCAAGCCGGCACTTGTGCGCTCGCAGTAACGTTCCTGAACCAGAAAAGGCTGCCAAGGTCTTGCGATCTCCCTGCGTCCAGGGGGCAGAGAAAAATGTCTGTCTGAAGATCCTGGCACTTCTGAGATGAGCCTGATTTTTTTTTTTTTTTTTTTACACCTGGGTTAAGCCTAAACTCAGATCTCCCTGGGACGTGATCTTCTCTTCTTGCTACGTCCCAGTCCCTGACTGCCAGGGGAGGTCCTGCTGTCCTGCAGCGAGTGCTCGGCTGTGCAATCAGGGAGCTCCATAGTGGGACCCTGTGGCCAGGTGCCCTGTCACTGAATGCTACTTTAAAGCTATCGCGGTGGTCAAGCTGCTTTTTTTGAACCTATTGGTTCAATTTAAAGGTTAGTCCTTGCTGTCCAGGCGCTGCGTGATCGTCCATCGCAGCCTAAGGAGACGTCTCCTTGGAAAAGTGAATTCCTGAAGTGCATGTTGCCGTTGGTTGTCTGGCCAATCTCAGATCTCGCTACGTTCAGCTGCTAAACCTCCTACCTTGTTTTCCCCTTCTACGGGGTGGTTCTGTGACTCACGCCTCCCCCCCCCCCCCAGCCCCGAATCAGGAAGTTGGCTCTCACGCACTGTGTCTTCCTCCTTCCATTAAGGCTGAAGCTGTGTAGTACCCAGGCCTTAGGAAGAGAACTGAAGTGTTCTGTTAGAACCTTTGCGCTTATGGCGGATTCGTTTATTATGAGGAAATCTGGAAGGACGGACTGCCTCCCAGGATCGATTGACAGACGTACTAAAGCAGAGCTGCAAAGCAAGGACAAAATTGGGATTGTGCCTTTTATGGCTTCCGATGATGTATGAAGATGGCCTGAAGCGTTTGGGGGGTGGAGGTTATGTTTTTAAAAGAATCTTAGAAGTATAAAGTGTGTCAGGTCTCCTTTTCCCTGGATTTGCTGGCATCGTCCCTAGAGCTCTCAGACTCCGAATGTGAGGTTTCTCGGGCCTTTCCTGAAGATGTGATGGGGACGGAGTCTTTTATCAGACTTTTTTCTCCCCCGTGTTTCTCGGGTGGTTGTTACACAGGCATTAAGCAGGCTGAGTACACAGTCACTCCCCGCTCAGTTAATCTTCCAGGGCTTTGACTGGCTGTGGCGTCTTGCAAGAAAAATGGGGCAGACAAGACCTGAGCGCTTAACTTGTAAAACCAAGCAAAGGGAAATAATCCCTTTTTGAAAGAGAGAAGTGCGGAGAAAGGGACGGGAAAGGTCTCGCAGGCCTTCACGCATCAGAAAGAGGCAACTAAGGCACAAACCCATTTTTGTTTTTCCTTTGCAGGTCACTTTAAGGACTCCTGCAAATACCCAAGATCAGCGTTGGCTAGTTGGGGCAGGCACTCGCCCCTAAAAGGCCTGCTGCCTACTGAGCGGAGAGGTACTGCCCCCGATCACCAGCTACGTAACAGCTCTGCTGGGGCCTCGTCTTTCGCTTGCCCTAGGCACGCTAGAAGTGATGGTGCAGGTCTCTGGGCCTCCACAGATGCACCCTGCAGTGTGTCTGTTCTCGTTCCCTGGCAGGACGCTATACAGGTCCCATCGGGATAGAGAATTACCTTGTTCACTTGGAGAAGAGACTTTTCTCCCCTAAATGTGAATAGCTTTTCTCCAATAAACAAGATCATTCTGTAAAGCACTTACATGTAGTGGGAGTCTCATAGGAACATAGCAGCATCCTGAGAGATTGCTATGCCAGATCAGATCAGTTAGAGGGATGCTAACAGATTACGCCCCCCTTTCACACACTCCAGTGCTTTTAGGAATTGTCACCATGTGAAAGTAAATAAGGTCAGTACTGGTGATTCAGCCTGCAAGTGAATTGTTTATCAGAGATCATATGTGGCACCTAACCAGCTCGCTAGGCTCTCCATAAGCACAAACAACCGCCTCACCCTGGGGCTTGGCTACAGAATATCTGGAACATGGATACGTATGCACCGCTGTGGGCGTGTTCCTAAATGTATGCAACTATCTAAAACCTATGTCAATTTACAGTCTGCTGATTGGCTGTTGTCGAGTAACAGGACATCTTTGTGGTCATGTGACACCTTTGACAAAACCTTTCTAGATCAGTGGTTGCCAGTCACTTCTCAGTGTGCCAGTAACACCAGCCTTATAAAAACCCCCTTCCTGGCGCCCAGTGCTTTAAGGATGAGCCTCTATGGGAGACCCTGGATGCCCCGCAGGGTGAGCCTGGATTAGGGGGCAGCCCAAATTCAATTGCAGGGTGCAGCATGACCAGTGACATGGGAGTCAACGGGCACTGGCTGGCAGCCCTGGGTGTTTCCACTGGTTAGACTGGCCCGGGTTCCCCAAAGGACTGCGAACCCCTGTTCCGGGTCATGGAGACCTCCAGCACGTGTGTCTTGTTCTCACGCTCAGCAGCGGCAGGTCACATTACAAACGCAGCGCTGTTGTTTTTCAGGGTGGTCCTAAGTCGTCATTTCTTACGGCCGAGAAGAGGGCGCGGCTGAAAACGAACCCCGTCAAAGTGCGGTTTGCCGAGGAGGTGCTGGTGAACGGACACACTCAGGTCGGTGCGGTGCTGTATGAAATCGTTCACAAGAGCTGCTCAGGGGCGGTGCTGGCCGGCTCGAACTACGTTGAGCTAAATGGGCGAGCACATGGAGCGCAGTTAGGATGGCGCAGATGCTGCCGAATTACAGAATAGAGTGAGCTCGTTCGACCTGGCATTCCCTTTGTTGTGTTTGGTCGTTTGTCTACACCGCGAGTGGCCAAGGAAAGGCCCAGGATTCAGGTTACTGTATGTTGCTACCTTGAATGCACTGGAAACGGGTGCTGATTCCCGTAGTTCTTCCATGCTGAGGAAGTAACCTCGGTACCTCCTCCTGTCCCGTGGCAACCGCGATCAAGTTTAATGAGTTGTATCGTCTATTGAATTTGGCATCATATGTTTCCTTAAAGGTGTGTTGACAAGTGACCTGATGTAACTGAATTGTGTTTTGTAGCTCTGCTGTAACTTGCCTAAGGATATGTCTACGTTTAGACGGCTACAGCAGCCTAGTGCTTCAGTGTTGACGCTACCTCTGCCTATGGGAGGGGGTCTCCCGTCGGCGTACGTAGTCCACATCCCCCAGAGGCGGTAGGATGGCCCATGGAAGAATTCTGCCTTCCACCTAGCACTGTCTACACTGGGGTTAGGGCAGTATAGCTACATCTCTGGGGGGGTGGGATTTTTCACACCCCCGAGACAAGTAGTTATGCTGATGTAAATTCTCAGTGTGGACCAGTCCTAAGATGTCTGCCGGACTCAGACGTCTGCCTTCCTGATATTTCATTTACAGAAGTATACAGTCGTCCTAGCCTGGCTTGAAATATGAAACGCACTTGGGTAGCTCAGTCGTACAACAACGTTCAGAAACTGTACAATTTCAGGCAACTCGATACGTACCGAGTATGCAGCATGTCTGTATCGCCATCTGTCTGCAGCTCAGGCCAGGGAAATGTGGCAGAAAAGGATACCGAGTTGGAACGCTTGGGGGGCCATTCCTGGCTGTTAAAGGGAAATCATGTCATGTTTCAGAAAAATCTGTTAAATAGTTCTTCTTAAATTTGTCACAAGCAGGTTAGCGAAAGGACCATTTTTTGTGGCCCCAAGTTTGAAACTGGCTTCTCTCCCTTTTCCCTTCAGAACGAAGAAGTGTGTCTGAAGTGCCCCACCCCAGCCAGGCCCTTTCTCCTTTTCCAGAGTGGCTGCCCTTGTGTCCCATTTCCTCCCGTGCCGAGCGGATCTGGCTCAGCAGAGTACAGCACTGGCTCCCGGGAGGGGGCTCGGCCAGACACCCCCACCACCCCCTTGCCTCAGGTGTTGAACCCTTGTGCGAACTCTGAGGGCACCTGGTCCTGTCTCCCTTGGCACAAAGACGCTGCTGGAGAATCAATCCCTCTACAACTCTGGCTGCCCGCTGGGCATTTCCGGCCAGTTGGGCAGGACCCTGGGCACACATTGCCAGCATGCTGGCCTTTGAGCACCTCAAACTGCTGTTTAAATCCCTAGCATCCCAACTGCCTGTTCCCCGAGGTCCCTCATAAAGAGATGTTCATACTCTGCTGGCCCATTGGACAGGAGAAAATTCTCCCCACCAATAAGGCTGCCAGTTACCTAGGACTCTCCAGACACTATCCTTCCTGCCAGCTGTTGCCAGATGTGCTGTGGTTTCTGCTACCACTGAGGAAAGGGTCAGATCTAACCAGAGCAGGATCCCGGTTCAGGAAAGCATCCCGGTGCGGTACACACTTAATCATGTGCAAACTCCTGGTCATAAATCTTAGGGACATCCAGCTTGCATTGCAATTAGTGCAAGATTTGTTTTGACAATGCCAGCAATGGGCTTCCTGAAGAGGCATTCCCAGCTGTGAAGCTGCAGCCCCTGCTTTCTGTGGAGTCATTTTGGAGATAGATGGCAGGAGAATCCATGACTTCCTCAGCCGTTAACCTTGTCATTTAAATGACAACTAAGCCAGTAGTTTCCTGAGAGGTGCAGAGGCAAAATACGGTTGCATCCTCTGTGGTGAGCAAAACAATGGTGCAGTGAGACGCACTTCAAAACTAAACCAGGCTCTGCAGTAAAATAGCAACAAAACCAAAATGTGTATGGTATGTTTCTGCTTGCCTGAAAAGCAGCTCTCCCTACAGCAGATCTATCCCTTCTACATTTCCATCCAAAAGTTGCCACTCCTTTCAGATAGAAACTGGGATGAAAGAGCATCCATAACGATTAGTGTAATTCCAACAACTGCCTAGCCTTCTGCTTCAGGACCGGTACCGTCATTGTCCTCTTAATGGAAGGTTGCTAACTGAGCTAAACCCCATTTGGAAAGAGCCCAAACGCTCCCTTATGCAGCTGAAATCTGAAACTCCAGTTCTAGAACAGGAATTATTGATGAGACCAAAAGCTTTCAAGCCTTCATTTTCCAGGGTAGATTTGGGTTATATCCTCAGAGCAGAGCTCTGTGTGGGAAGACAGGTCATGCAAGGGTGAACATCAGTACATATTTTAGGTAGATTTGGACGCTGTAGACCAAATCCTAAACTGGCGTAAATCGGTGTAGTGCCTCTGTAGTCAATGGAGCAATGACTGTTTGCGCCAGTTGAGGAGCTGGGCCTACATTTTTAGAATTAATTTTTAAATAGTCTACAAGATTCTGCCAAGAAAGACTAAAATTATCAACTTGGCTGGACTAGCAGAAAGAGAGCCTACAATAATTGCTAAAGGTGGAACATAATCATTACACATGTTGAATGTAGCGTCAGCAACAACGTGTGGTTTTTAATTTGTCCCCAAGCTCTGTATATAGATTCCAAGATGACTTGTGAGCTGATGTTACAAAACAACAGCAACGTCTTATTTCTGCCAGCAGCCTCACCGGACACTTTGGGTTAGATCCTCATCTGGTATAAACTGGCATCGTTTCACTGAAATCAATGGAGATATGTAACCCAATAGGTTTGATTTAATCAGAGAATTATAGACCATCAGGGTTGGAAGGGACCTCAGGAGGTCATCTAGTCCAACCCCCTGCTCAAAGCAGGACTAATCCCCAGACAGATTTTTACCCCAGTTCCCTAAATGGCTCCCTCAAGGATTGAACTCACAACCTTGGGTTTAGCAGGCTAATGCTCAAACAACTGAGCTATCCCTCCCCCCCTGGGATTTACCCAGCTGAGGGTCTGGCCTCTTGAGGCTACTAATGTGAGACCAACAAAACTTGGCTCGATGACAGTAGCATAAATGTGTTACCTTTCTCTGTAATAAATCATCATTCTTCGGTCCCGCAATAGGAACTGGACCAAATTCATTTTTGGTGGGACCCACTGATTTGAGTGGGATTTTTATCGGGGTGAATTTGTCACTTGATGCCTCTTTTGTCCTTTGTCTCATAGCAAGATATAATGCTAACATGTCGTGAATGGGGCTTTATTTCAAGGTGGAGAAAGTTTTGCATTTAAATCTGTATTTGTTGCATTACCAAAGATGAGCCCTTGATGCAGTCCCAGAATACCAAAAACCCTTGACCTACGGTGCTGACACTTGACCTCCCAGTTTGTTTTGTTGTGCAGGGGAATGCTCTTCTGTGCGTGCCGAATGTTCTCAAGGTGTACTTGGAAAATGGACAGACGAAGGCTTTCAAATTTGACACCACCACGACGGTGAAGGTATTGTGGCTTGGTTGGCTACCATTATTCCTCCATTTAATCTGTGCTACTTCACAAAAGGTAAAAATATACCAGGAATTGATTCTCCGAGACGATCTAGAGAACATGGACCCCCGATGGGTAGATACAAAGCTTACCGGATTTGGGGAGCAGGGAGTGGAGAATGGAAATAGGCTCTGGGCTTTCACAGCCCAATTTTTTTGGACCTGCTCAACACCTAGGTTGACATAGAGCTGCAGGTGCTCAGCAGTTCGCAAATGAAGCCGTTAGGTTTTAAAATTGCTTAGGATAAACTCTAGCGGTACAGCAGGTATGGAAGATCTGCAGGCAGGCCTGGGAACGCATTGGGACTTCACCTTCAGCAGGGCAGTGGAGCAATAAGCGTGGGAGAGTGATTGCTGTTCATGCTGCCATTCACCCAAAGGAGGGTTGCTGAAATCAGGCCGGCTGGAAGGGCAGAGGCAAAGGGATAAGGGAGGTATAGAGGGGTCAGGAAACTAGAAGTCCAGAAGGAACTAATGAGGAACCTTGGAGCGAGAGAAGAGACAGGGTTAATGGCCTGGATTGGGTACCATGAGAATTTAGACTTAGAATCATAGAAGAATCATAGAAGATTAGGGTTGCGAGAGACCTCAGAGGTCATCTAGTCCAACCCCTGCTCAAAGCAGGACCAACCCCAACTAAATCATCCTTGAAGAGCTGGCGAAGATGCCAAGCTCCCAAAGAGCCTGTCAAAGGAAGTATCCAAACGGTGGTAGTAAAATGAGCCTGTCGCCCCATCTGGTCTATAATGGGTTGTGGGAAAACCATCACCACTGTGCCATGGCAGCGGGAGGGAGCGTCCGGGAAGGGAGTCTCTCTGATCTCAAATGCAGCCCTTCCAGCTGAAAAGTCCATGATTACCTTGCAGAGCTGTCGTTAGCATGCTGGAATCTAGAGCCTCTTCATTAACATCCAATCCCGTTACGTATCCTAGTGATGCCCGGCTGTTGTATTTAAAATGCCTGAAAGCAGATTGTCCCTTGTGTCTTCCATTGGCAGGACATAATCCTCACCTTGAAAGAGAAGCTCTCCATCCAGAGCATTGAGCACTTCGCCCTGGCCTTGGAAGAACAGTACAACATTTCTAAGCTCTACCTGCTGCACGAGGACGAGCTCATCGAGCAGGTCAGTGCTTCCTGCGGAGCTCCTGCCTTGCCTGTCTCAGCAAGGCAGCCTTTGTCATGCAACCCGCTTAGAAAAGAGCCCTGGCCCAGCGGCTGACATTTCCCTGGACACATCTCCAAGGACGCCCAGGTTGTGCAGACTAAACGGGGACGGGGGAGGGAGTGTTGGGTGGCAGGAAGGGGATTTGGTGGGTTGGGGGAAGGAGGAGGTCAGTGGCTGAGTGCGAGACCCGATCACGAGCTCCCGCGTCAAACTGGGGATTCGGAGCGGCTTTGCCTCCCCAGAGACGCCGCCGTCCTAGCTCTGCCTGTCCCACGCGCGCTAACTGGTGACGGCACGGCAGCCTGGCCTTGCTGCTCTGGTGACGGAACCGAGACACAGCACCGCCAGAGCGTAAACGTTCGTAGCACCTCGCTCCGTTCCTGCAGACGGCAGCGGGCAGCTCTCGTGGCCGGCTTGTTTTGCTGACGCTTCTTCCTGCTGCCCTCGTTTCGTAGCAATAAGGCCATGTAATCTGAACCCCTTTATATCACAGGCCGTTAAGTGTCACCAAGATCCCCCTAAACTGAGCCCAAAAGCTTCAGTTAGACTAAAGCATTTCAGGCCTCAGGCCATCATGCGCCCCAGGCAGAGAAGAGGAGAGGCCAAGCAGCAGCAATGGCAAGGAATACATTGTGTGTGGCGTGCCCAGATGATCCCAGCAAGTGGTCCGTGGTGCAGGCTGCAAAGGGAGGTGAAAAGCGCCCAAGGTCCCTGCTAATCTGACCTCGGGGAAAATTCCTCCTCGACCCCAGACCAGGTGATCATCTTGACCCTGGACATGTGAGCAAGACCCACCAGCTCGGCATCTAGTAAGAGGATTTCCCTAGACCACCTCCGAGCACTGGCCTGCCCTGTCCAGTGTGGCCAATCCCTGCTCCTTCAGAGGTGCCCTTTTCTGGAGGACCATTTATCTGGGACTATATAAAAAGAAATCGAGGCGGCGGTTTTCCAAAGCAGTCGGCGAGGGGTTGCCTGGCTGGGCTTCCCTTTGAAGTCAATGGGAGTTTTGCCCCGGCAGAGTTAGGCCAACCCCGAGCGCTATTTGCAAATCCCACCTCTAGCATTTCTATTTCTTATCTTTATTTCCCAGGTACTTTATGTTCCTAACTTTGAGCTAAGAATCTGAGCAGCCCTTCCTCACTCCCGGACATCTCCCCAGTCAGGGAGACAGGCGCAAGATGTGGAGGCTCACTCGTTAAGATCCCGTTACTAAATACCAGGCATACGTCTCTTTGGGCTGGTCCACACTAACCCCCCAGTTCGAACTAAGATACGCAACTTCAGCTACGTGAATAACGTAGCTGAAGTCGAAGTACCTTAGTTCGAACTTAAAGATACTTACCAAAGGTCCACACGCGGCAGGCAGGCTCCCCCGTCGATTCCGCGTACTCCTCTCGCGGAGCAGGAGTACCAGCGTCGATGGCGAGCACTTCCGGGATCGATTTATCGTGTCTAGACAAGACGCGATAAATCGATCCCAGAAGATCGATTGCTTACCGCCGAACCCGGAGGTAAGTATAGACGTACCCTTTGGGACCTTCTCTTTCCAGCCAGTTGATGAGTCAGTTCTGGGTTTATCCAAAATAAAATATGCTAATATAATCCAGTGACTTTCAGAAGGTTTAGTTGACATTTCGGCAGCACAAATAGCATTTTAATCTTCTCTGTCTTTTTTTTGGTTTTTTAAGTGCTTTCCTCTGTTGTCATAGTAGGGCCATGTGATCAGTCTCTGGTGTAGGGTTTGTAGCATTACGTATTCACAAGATTTATATTTATGACACTGAGACCAGGGTACAGGTCCTTTGCCCCAACTTGTTATTGTCCCAGCTGAAATAGTGTGATTGGATTTGGACTAGTTGTTGTGCCCTTGTTGTACCCTGATCCCAATTAAACTGTAACCTCGCTGGGGCAGAGCCTATCTCTGTGCAACGGTGCAGCACCTAGGGCTCTGGGCACAGCCCAGTACAAATCAATCATTTTAATGGCTTTTCTGGGAGGTTGTGGAGTCCTTAATGAAGTTCTGCAGTGGAGTAGCCTCCACTTCATCTGACTTTACTTCTCATGTTGCTTCCCTCCCAAAGAGTCATTCGTGCCTCCTTGTCACTAGAGAGAGTGGCCGACTTGCCCCCAACCCAGACGCCGAGTGCTTTGTTCTGTAGCGTGTGAAGGGCTGCCCTGTGCCAATTCATTGCACCTGCTGGTCAAGGATGGGTTTATTCAATGAGGGATTCGAGGAGCTGCTATTGTTTAACGCAGTTTTATTTTGTTTGTTCCAGGTGGTCCAAAGGAAAGACTCCCATGATTACCGGTGTCTCTTCAGAGTCTGCTTTATCCCTAAGGATCCGTTGGACCTCCTACAAGAAGATCCAGTTACCTTTGAATACCTTTATTTGCAGGTGAAAACGGAATGTCCCATACTGTATTGATAACCCTTTGTGTCCTAAGGCCTTGCCTCCCATTTAAGGTGAAGTGTGATACACCTCTACCCTGATATAACGCGACCCGATATAACATGAACTCGGATATAACGCGGTAAAGCTGCGCTCCGGGGGGGCGGGGCTGCGCACTCCGGCGGATCAAAGCAAGTTCAATATAACGCGGTTTCACCTGTAACGCGGTAAGATTTTTTGGCTCCCGAGGACAGCGTTATATCGGGGTAGAGGTGTATTTAAATCACTATTGTTAAACTGGTGCCAAAAGCTGCGTGGACATTATCTGGCTCTGAGTGGCTTAGTGATTCCTAATCTGAGCCTTGACTTGTTAATTACTTGTGCCCTTCACAGGCGCCGACTCCGTGGGTGCTCTGGGGCTGGAGCACCCACGGGGAAAAATTAGTGGGTGCTCTGCACCCATTGGCAGCCAAGCTCCCGTCAGCCCCCCCCACCTCATCCTCCTCCCCCGCCCCGAGCGCGCCACATCCCCGCTCCTCCGCCTACCTCCCAGTGCTTCCCCCCAGCTGCCGCCAAACAACTGTTTGGCGGCGTGCTGGGAGGAAGGGGAAGGAGCAGGAACGTGGCGCGCTCAGGGGAGGAGGCGGGGCCGGGGCGGGGATTTGGGGAAGGGGTTGGAATAGGGGCAGGGAGGGGGCAGAGTTGGGGCAGGGACTTTGTGGCAGGGGTGGGATGGGGTGGGGCAGAGGCGGGGTCACATGGAAGGGATGGAGTGGGGGCGGGTCCGGGGGCAGAGTGGGGGTCAAGCACCCAGGGGAAAGCGGGGAAGTCGGCGCCTATGGCGCCCTTCACATATGAATCAAAAATGGTTGAGCCAGGCAAAAAGGGGACACCCAAGCAAAGTCATTCTTCCTCTTTGCCGTGCCCCCTGCGCGCGTTAACCTGGCTGTGTCCGTTCCAGAGCTGCAGCGATGTGCTTCAGGAGCGATTTGCTGTCGAAATGAAGTGCAGCGTGGCCCTGCGCCTGGCAGCGCTGCATATACAAGAGCGGATTTATGCCTGCGCCCAGCCGCAGAAAGTCTCTTTCAAATATATAGAGTAAGTGGAAAATTCTCTGCTGTTCTAGCTGACCCAGGTCCCTTATATCTTTTGTACTGGGGCTGTGATAGGCACCAGAGAAATGGAAGGTGGCTAGGTCAGGGCAGTGGTAGTAGATTGGAATGTGCTTTGTCCTTGTTGTTTAATACCGATTCCATATATTGGTTATGCAGATCCTTTTAGAGATAGATGAGTAGCAGTTTGAGATGGCTGCACAAAACCAACTCTCTCATATCTCCCTTCTAAACTGCTCGCATGGTGTAACAGCTAGAAATGTCCGCCGGTGGGCCTCTACAGCCGCACTACTGTAACGTGTTAGGTAGTTATTGTTGCACGGGGCAGGATTTCATTTAAATAAAGGTTGCCTCTTGCCGGCGTGTTTATTGGGAGTTCTGAGTGCAGTAGCCAAAGTCATAACTGCCCAGGAATGGCCCCCAGCAAATCTATAGCGTGCATGTCCCCTTCCTAGGCAGACACGCTTATTGCATGGGTTGTTCTGGTAAAACAACATCACTACTAAAAATTGTAAAGGGGCCATTGTGAAGTAATAGCCCAGACATTTGTAGCTTAATACGTGCAGCCCCAGTTGGGTTATGTGTTCACCTCTGTCACTGACTTATTATTTATAGTCAAATATGCCATGCCCCGACTAACAAAGGAATAGACAGACGCATCAAGAGAAAACTCCATGATGTGCTTAATTAGCAAGTAATACTTATTACGTTGGAAAAATTCTCCATTGGAACAACTGGCCTCTAATCTTAGACGGGCGGGAACCGTTAACCCAAAAGACACCAAAATATAATAATCTTTTAAGCAAAGCAAAGTGCACTTTACGAACGGACCCTCAGTCCATAGATTGAGGCCAGAAGGGACCATTATAATCACCTAGTCTGACCTGTATGACACAGGCCAGAGAAACTCAGCCAGGAATTTGTGCAACAAGCCCGTAATGTCTCTTTGAGCCATACCCATCTGCTCTGTCTTCATGGCAGGAAGGACTGGGGAATAGAAAACTTTATATCTCCGACTTTACTCCGAAACATGAAAGGCAAAGACATCAAGAAAGCCATCAGCTTTCACATGAAAAGGAACCAAATCTTACTGGACCCGAGACAAAAGGTAGAACCTATGCATGTGTGTGAGGTCACTCAATGAAAGCCATCCGGCTCGGCCACTGAGCCCAGCCTCAGTGGGACTGAGCCGAGATGGTTTTAGCACCATGCTCTACACCCGCCTTCTCCAGCTGGGGTCCTCCCAGCCTTGCTACTGCATTTTATTTGGTCTTCATGGGGGCTGCATTGCACCTCTTTATTCTTCTGGCTCAGTCCCCTCTCCTTTGGTGCAGCTATTTCTCCCAGCATTAGCATTGCTTGTGCACTGCTTCTGCAGGTGTAGACCAGCCCTGGTCAACAGGGTTGTCAGAGATGGGAGCCAGAAGTCACAAAGTTGGGTCTCCTCCTAAGCAGATTATTCCCAGTGACCCCCTGGGCTGCCAGCTTTGCCTTAGTGTGCCCTGGAACTGAATTCTTGCCTGCTGTGCATAGGAGGAGGGCAGTCATCTAGTCAGAGGTTGTTTTTTCTGTCTGTGTGTGTGTCTCAAATCCATCCAGTCCTGTGCACTGTACACGTCTGGTTAGATCCAAATAAACAAATTAGAAACCCCTTTACCCACACACCCGACTTGTCCCAGTGGTTGGTTTGTAACTTTCTCAGCAATATTTCTTTTCTTTAAAATCCAAGCACGTCCTCTCGGCCACACAGGTGCGTCTGAGCTACCTGCAGATACTTGGAGACCTGAAAATGTATAGCGGGAAAATCTTTAATGCCACCCTAATGGTATGTGCATTCATTTGTCTGTGATTTTGGCAAACCTTTGTGTTTTCTCTGGCCATCCCTTCTGTGTGTTGTGTTACCATGCTGTGGAAAACAAACTCGTGCAATGGAAGTCATTTTTAGCGCTATGCTGAAACTGACCAAGCCTCGTCTTGATTAAAGCGCACTTTCTGTAAAGCAGGATGTCTAATTTTTTTAACAGCTGAGAGTCAAAGACAACCCATTAACTTGCTGCTGGGGTGTCTCCCGCAGATTTGTTCTGCCAGCAACACTCGCTTTATCACCCATTAGTCGTATTTGCCCTCAACCACCTTCACGCTTTCTCCCAGTTCTGCATCAGAGCAGCTCCCTGGAACAATCCGTAAAGCTTCCCCATGTCTTCCTTCACATCCCTCCCCTGCGCTCCCCTCTGCAACGCTGCCTATGGACCGCTCCCCATCGGGAGTGTTGGCGCTGCTGCTTCAACTAAACGTGCGCATTTCTCTTGGGCCCTTTCCAGCAGTCGCATTCTAAATCCTGGGTCAGAGCCTCAGCCAATGCGAACCAGCATAGCTCCTTTGAAGTCAAGACCATAAAACCATTCACCGAGGATCCTTTTATTTATGTGTTGTTAAAAAGCACAGGTGTGGCATTCAGTGTGGGTCTTGTGGGTCTTCAGATGTGATTGGTCCATTGTTCCATGGGCAGGTTCTAATGCCCTTTGAAGATCTGAGAATATTTTAAATGCCATTTAAAAAAAATACACTGACGTTGATTTGGGCCAAGATTTAACCTCCCCTGAAAATGGATGAGTCAACAGTGTGCCCTTGTTGCCAAGAAGGCTAACGGCATATGGGGCTGCATTAGTAGGAGCATTGCCAGCAGATCGAGGGAAGTGATTATTCCCCTCTATTCGGCACTGGTGAGGCCACATCTGGAGTATTGCGTCCAGTTGTGGGCCCCCCCACTACAGAAAGGATGTGGACAAATTGGAGAGAGTCCAGTGGAGGGCAACAAAAATTATTAGGGGGCTGGGGCACATGACTTATGAGGAGAGGCTGAGGGAACTGGGCTTATTTAGTCTGCAGAAGAGAAGAGTGAGGGGGGATTTGATAGCAGCCTTCAACTACCTGAAAGGGGGTTCCAAAGAAGATGGAGCTCGGCTGTTCTCAGTGGTGGCAGATGACAGAACAAGGAGCAATGGTCTCAAGTTGCGGTGAGGGAGGTCTAGGTTGGATATCAGGAAACACTATTTCACTAGGAGGGTGGTGAAGCACTGGAATGGGTTCCCTAGGGGAGGTGGTGGAATCTCCTTAGAGGTTTTTAAGGCCTGGCTTGACAAAGCCCTGGCTGGGATGATTTAGTTGGGGTTTGTCCTGCTTTGAGCAGGGGGTTGGACTAGATGACCACCTGAGGTCCCTTCCAACCCTGATATTCTATGATTCTCTGATGTTTTCCCTTTGAAAGAAGGTCTCTTGACATAAGGCATGACACAACCTTGCCTGACCCATGGGATTGAATCAAGGACCTCCAGAGCTAAGAGCAGAACTGCCACAGTTTATGCTAGAGAGCCAGGTTCTAGACCTGGCAGTTGTGATGCTCATGTCCTCTGAGGACCAGGTGGAGACGGGGGCCTGGAATGAACACTCACCAGCAGGGCTGTCCCTAGGGGCGTGCGGGGCCCGGGACATTGGTGGCGAGTTTCTAATCTGCCAGAGGATACTCTCCCCCCCCCCCGCTCTGCCCCCACTCCACCCTTTTCTCCCAAGGCCCCACCCCTGCCCTGCTTCTTCCCACTCCCGCTCCGCTCCCCCTCTTCTCTGCCCAGTTCCGCCCCCTCCCCCAAGTGCGCTGCGCCCTCGCTCCCCCCCCAGCACCTTCTGACCCCGCAAAACTGCTGATCCGCAGCAGGCACTGAGAGAGGGGGGAGGTGCTGATCGGCGGGGCCTGTCGACGGGCAGGAGGCACTGGGGGGAGGAGGAGGTTCCGGTAGGGGGGCTACTCCTCGACCCCCCCCCCCCCCCCCCCCCCCCCCCCCCCCCCCGTTTGCCTCCTCACCCTGCTCGCCCACCCGCCTCACCTCCCTGCCTGCTTCCTACGGGGCCCCCCAAAGCACGGGGCCCGGGGCGGTCCCCCTGATTCGCCGTACCCAAGGGACGGCTCTGCTCACCAGTGGATTACTATTGCTCTATCCGTATTCACGCTGAGTAGGACGAGTTGAACATTTTCCATCTCTAGCCTGTCAGTGGAAAATTGGGTTTTTGATTCAATTAAATTTTTCCAGAACAGTGTCTGTTTTCTGTAGGGAAATGTCAATATTTCATAGTAGATAGATAGATTTTCTTGGGCAGTAGGGGACTAAAACGTTTCAGAGCACAGAACTCTTGTTCCCCTCCCCCTGCCGACAGCTCCGGGAGAGCGGAGGGTGTAGCGATGCGCCTGGGCGCTGATCACCCCAGTGTGCGCCTCTGCCATGAGATTGACGGGGCAGCCACGTTGGGAGGAAGGGGGCTCCGTCCTGGCTCTTGAGTGGCGGAATGTCTTACAAATGGATCGTTAGAATCTGGGGGGGTCACTTAAAAGGATGTAGATGCCCATGGGAGGGAGATCCCATTAATCCTCTCTCCTCGGTGAGCCACCTTGGGGCCGACAAGCCCCAGGTTCGCAGCGCTCGGTGCCGAAGCCCGCAGCCCATCTGACAACCAGCTATGGTAAATGAAGGACCGACAGAAAGATGCCCAGCATTTTATTCCCACGAGGGACAGGGGTAAATTAAAAGATGGGGACGGGAGCAGGCAAAGGAAGCCAGGATGTTAAACACATGATCTTGCAACAACAACCCCTAAAGTCCCACCAAACCCAATGGATATAATGAAAGAGCCCCACCTGCCCAAGTGTGGGTAGTGGGGCTGGAGCTCCATGTGGTGGGCTGGTGTCCCTTCCCGGGAGACCAACAACTCTCCGTCAGCTCAACAGAGGCCCTGGCAACCCCAAGTCCTGGCCATCCCCCACCGGCTCCGTGTCTCCACCACAGGTGGGTACGTCTCCACAGCAGGTGGGCAGGCCTGGCGCTGGCAGAGTGAGGGGCAGAAAAGGGGACATTCCCCCCTGCCCAAAAAAAGATCTTCAGGGGGCCCCCGATGGATTGTCAGAAAGGCCAAACTATGTGCAAAGGTGTCCAGAGTTAGCCAGCGGAACAGCAGGTTGGAGAGTCTTCATCCTTTATAGAAATTCTAAATCACAGCAAAATACCGGCCACAGTCGCCACATTTTACTGTTTTAAACTCTTAAAATCCCCAATTTTCCAGGAGTGGAACTAGCCTTTGGCCTTCTGGAAGGTGGCTTGTTGTTTGAATAGCAACAGCCAGGAGCGCGCAAATACCCACGCCCCCCCACCCCCCCCCCCCCCCCCCCCCCCCCACGGTACGGGAACCCTAGAACCGGCCCTGCAGCTGGGAGGATCCTCCCAGCACGGATAGGCAGCTAGCGCCAGCGTGGCCAGCTGCCCAAGTACAGTGCTGCCCGATCCTGTGGGTACGTACGCGGGCAGCTAGCCTGAGCCACCACCCGTGCCACCGCAGCCACACTGCTATTTCTAGCACGCTAGCTCGCCTCCGTCCAGCCGTGCAGGGTAGCACCCTCCCAGTGACCATGTAGATGTACCAGGTGAGACAGGCAGCCTCCATCTCACTTTAGTCTCTGTCTCTGGGAGCTGTCTCTGGAGCTACAAACTAGTCAGGTTCGGGGGCCAGTAAAAGTTGGCCGCTTCCCCTAATTGAAACGTGCCAAGCCGTAACGCACAACTCAGGATTCTACGTCCCGCCTTGTCACGAGGTTCCTGTTTAGATTTCTATTAAGGCTGGATTCTAACCCACCTTTCTCCGGTAGCTACAGGACAGGGAATCGTATGTCGCCTTGCTGGTCGGAGCGAAGTATGGAATCAGCCAGATTATCAATAACAAGCTCAACATCATAAGCCCCCTGGCAGAGTTTGCTAACATCGGCAGGCTAGAGCTTACCGAAGAGTCTGAGAAAGCGAGCATGGTAAAAATCTACCTTCAGGATGTGAAGGTAATGGCAGCTTCCAATGAGGCGTGTGTCGGGAGCGTTGCTCTTCCATCTTCTCAACGATCTGACAGTCTAATTCAGGGGTCGGCAACCTTTCAGAAGTGATGTGCCGAGTCTTCATTTATTCACTCTGATTTAAGGTTTCGCGTGCCAGTAATCAGGGGCGGCTCCAGGCACCAGCACAGCAAGCGCGTGCCTGGGGCGGCAAGTCCCCGGGGGCATCCTGCCGGTCGCCGTGAGGGCGGCAGTCAGGCTGCCTTCAGCGGCATGCCTGCGGGAGGTCCCTCGGCTTCGGCGGTGGGCACGCCAAAGCCACGGGACTGGAGGACCTCCCACAGGCATGCCGCCGAATCCGTGTGACCAGCAGACCTCCCACAGGCATGCCGCCGAAGGCAGCCTGACTGCCGTGCTTGGGGCGGTGACATACATAGAGCCGCCCCTGCCAGTAATACATTTTAACTTTTTTAGAAGGTCTCTTTCTATAAGTCTATAATATAGAACTAAACTATTGTTGTATGTAAAGTAAATAAGGTTTTAAAAATGTTTAAGAAGCTTCATTTAAAATTAAATTAAAATGCAGAGCCCCCCGGACCGGTGGCCAGGACCCGGGCAGTGTGAGTGCCACTGAAAATCAGCTTGCGTGCCGCCTTTGGCACGCGTGCCATAGCTTGCCTACACCTGGTCTAATTGAATTCTTAATGCTAGTAAAGACAGCGACGCGTTTGTTTTGCTGTTTCTGTTATCCTCATAAATGCAGTGGTGGGACTTTTTTTCCTAGTTACTTTTATAGTATATCACTGGCTATCATGACCAATGTGCTTTAACACTGTCTTGTCTCCGAGTGCCTAACCATTTGACGCGCTAGCAGACTGTATTTATCAGAATTTAACTGTCCCTTGACAATTCTTTTAAGGTAAAATATTTTGCATTGGATACAATGCAAAGGGAGACAGGAGAGCCATTAGAAAAGATGCAGCCCGGTCAAGGAAAATGAGATTCCTTTTAAAAATATTTGGCTGGTCCTTCGTCAGTAGGACACTGGGCATCAAAGAAAAATCTGTTTTCCCTTCCTCCTTGTGGCCCACTCTGTAATTCACCTCTCCGTATCTGGGAGATGGGGAATGTCCTTTTATTTAGTGTACATCTCTGCAGGTCACGTAGGGGGCCTAACACATTTTTTTTCGTTACAGTTGCTGACGCTGATGCTAGAATCAAACAGTGCCAAGGATCTCGCCTGCCTCATCGCAGGTTACTACAGGCTGTGTGTCGACTCGGGCATCACCATATTCATGTGGGGGGAGGCTAAGCAGCAGACCCACCGCATCTCCACGGAAGAAGGTAAGAACTAGTCGCCTTTTTCAACGAAGGGTGGCGAGTTGACTAATCACTTAGGAGCATCTGTCACCGTAGACACAGGTCAGGTGCAGAGTTTTCTCCTAGGAAGAACAGGAGTACTTGTGGCACCTTAAAGACTAACAAATTTATTAGAGCATAAGCTTTCGTGGGCCACAACCCACTTCTTCGGATGCATATAGAGTGAAACATTGAGGAGATATATATACACACATACAGAGAGCATGAACAGGTGGGAGTTGTCTTACCAACTCTGAGAGGCCA